CAGCCGATGCAGCCGCCGCCCCAGCACATGATTTCGCCCGCTGTGTCTAAATCTGCGTCGGTGCACGTCGTTTCTGTTGCGCCGATGCCCGTGGCAAAGGTCATGGGCGCGCCCCCTCCTGGGTGGGTGCCTTACTAGGTGCAGAGCCTGACGACGCCGACGACGACGACGACGACGACGACGCACGACGAGGACCCTCGCACTCGTAGCATCTATAGATGCCACGAGTGCGAGGGTCCTCGCCGTGGCCGAAAAGGCTATAGCCTTTTCGGCCACAAGAGCGTCCAAGATGACGACGACGACATCGACGATGATAAAGTTTTTGTTCAACTCTCGCCGCTGTAGTTGATCGCAGCGCAGCTGGCTATTGACACAGCTCTGTGCTCCCAGCGCACCTGCCTCGTCTGCTAAAGATTCGGCGAAATGCCCGAAGACCGAACGGGGGAGGGTAGAGGAGGGAAACTATAGCAACGAGAGGGTCTCATAGGGTTCCCCAAGGGGCCCCATATGGTTCCCCAAAGGGTCTCAGAGGGTCACCCGACGACCGAACGAGGGAATGTTCCTCAAGGGGTCTCATAGGGTTCCTCCTAGGCTTTCTTGGTCCCTCCCAGGCTGGATGATAGCGTTGGGGCCCAGGGAGCCTCCGACAGCTCCCGCAGAGCTCTGCATTAGCTAGCGGGGGCTTCAATTCGTGTATCTACGTGGTGCAACGTATGCGGTGCAATATATGTGGTGCCGCCTATGCGGTGCAATCTAGGTGACGTGGTGCAACCTATGTGGTGCAATCTATGCGGTGCAACATGTGTGGTGCACTCTTGTGGTCTACTCTATGCGGTGCCGCCTATGTGGTGCAATATACATGGTGCAACCCATTTGGCGTATTATACGCGATGCATCAGTTGCCAACGCGGAAGCAACATCACGCATGCAGTATTAGCCATTTTGGCCCACGTTTCATGACCCACACCGCGAAGAGATCGCGCTTGGGGGATCTTGCGAGAGATTCGTTCGTTACCCAGAATGCTCTTTCCAAGCTTCTGAGGAAGCTGAATGACGAGGGCCTGCCCGACGCATTCAGCACGTTTGCGCAGCGGAAGGAAAGAGAATTAGTCGGTCGGCAGTCCTCGCAATTTGGTTCTTTGGTGCAGAAGGTATCTGTTGTTTCGTCCGATGGGGAACCTGTTGAGATATGGGTGCAACATCCGTTTGCCTGGCTCGAGATAGCGTGCAAGGAATCGTGCTCTTTCAAGGACCTCTTGCAAAGCACGCTGGACCGCTCGAATGGCAGGTTGGACGTCATCGTCTACTCAGACGAAGTCACCCCAGGGAACCCCCTGGGGGATTGCAACGACAGAAAATTGTAGACTATATATTGGACGGTGAAGCAGTTCCCATTAGAGGCCTTGTGCAGCGAGTTGTGCTGGATGACTGTTTCTACGTTGACTTCGAAAGAGTGCGACTCGCTCGCGGGAGGTCTTTCCGAGATGTTCAAGCACGTGCTGAAGTTCTTCCTCGGCGCACCCACTGGGCACGACCTTCGCTCAGGCATTGCTTTCGCGATGCCAGGTGAGCAGCAGCCTCGCCTCCTCGTCGGGACTGCGGCCAGCATGCTGCAGGACGAGCGGGCCCACAAGTTCGCAACCCACTGCATCGGCAGTGGGGGACATAAGGTGTGCGTGATGTGCAAGAACATCCTGGCCAAGAACTCGTCTCTACTACCTGACCCCAGCGGGTACTTGCGGAGCTCAACCACGGTCGACATGAGCTTGTTCGATTATCACGATGACGATTCCGTGCGGGCCATCCAACTCCGATTAGCCGAAGTCGCGGCCAACGACCCAGGGGGCCTCGGCGAGAAGCAAACTTTATTGGGGTTCAATGTTTTCCCAACTGGGGTCTTACAGGACTGCTCGCTCAACCTAGGGCTTATTAGTGTGTGGGCGTGGGACTGGATGCACATCTTCTTAGTCGACGGCATCTACATCACAGAATTGCGCGCTCTCTCCAGCCTGCTGAAGAATGCCAGCCTCGGAGGCGAAGCTTGGGATGCATATTTGAGCCAGTGGGTTTGGCCAGGCGCGCATGCGCGCGCCAAGAAACTTTGCAAGGGCAACGAGACCTTTTCACAAGGCGGTAGCGCGTCAGAGCAGATGTCATCATGCCAAGTGGTATCGAAGTTTCTTCGGGACGTCGTTGCGCCTACAGGGTTGTGCCCCGAGCAAATCGAGAGCGCGCTGCTCCTGTGCGACGTCGTCGAGCTCCTCAGCGTCGCCAACGCAGGGATTGTAGATCCAGTGATGCTGGGTATCGCAATACTTAAGTTTTTGAATGCGCACCTCCGCGCATGGGGTGAAGACCTTTGGAAGCCGAAGCACCATTGGTCGATACATCTGCCTCGCCAGTTTTTGCAGCATGGGCTCCTGTTGGGATGCTTCCGCTGCGAGAGGAAGCACAGAGTCCTCAAGCGCTTCTCTGATAGCCATCATAACACGAAGTCTTTCAACAAGTCCCTCCTTGAGGAGGCGACAGCTCAACACCTTTACGATTTGCGCAATCCGTCGGTTCATTCTGATCTTCTTGAGCCGAGAACGGCGAGCAAGAAGATGGAGCGTGCGTTGCGTTCGGAGTTGTCTCTGCCTGTCAGTGCCAGCATTCTGACGTCGAAAGCGGCGTATATTCGGTCCAGGATAGTCCAGCGCGGAGACACGGTCTGCTATCGCGTCCAGGGCGGTGGAGTTGGCTACGGACAGCTTTATTTTCACGCAAAGGTGCAAGACAGGCTATTGTGTTGCATTTCTAGGTGGACTGTGTTGCACTCCAGCTCTCGGCAAGTCAATTGCGTCGTTCGGGAATCCCCCGAACTTCTTGATTCGGCCTGCGTTTTGGATCCGTGCATTTCTTTTTTCGCTAGGGCTGGCCAGGTCTCAGAGGTGCTCGTGCCAACAAGAGAGAGGCTCGGGGCCGTCTCTTGAGCGCCACGTCGCGGTGCGACACAGGCGCGCACTCAGCCAAACTGCGTTTGTCAGCCAGGACTGTTCGGATGGTACCTCCCCGTTGGACTGTGCAGAAGCAAGCCATCGCTCCCTTCGAAGACGCCTGCGGCGAATCGCCGCCGCCCCCCTGCCTTTTAGGGGAGCGCCTCCGCGGCCGCGCGTTGGGCCCCAGCTGCGCCCGCACTATGGATTCCCCCAGCCGCGCTGGATATTCTTGGCGCTTCGCGCGCCCCCACTCGCCCGTCCAGAAACGACGCCCATGCGCGTTGATGCCATGAGGGAAGTGTGGGAGCAAATATGGGGACAGCCGAACTGTTCGAATGAGGAGGAGGAGGCGAATGAGGGGGATGGGTGGATGGATGGTGGAGGAAGGGCACGGGCGATGATGATGATGATGATGAGGAGGAGGGGGAAGATCAAGAGGAGGAGGAAGAGGAGGAAGAAGATGAACGGGCGACATGGGCGTGCCGCCCGCTACGGAGGGATCAGTTCCCCAGTCCCTTGGCGGCACAGGGGGGCTCTCGGGCGTTTTGGGTGCCTCAGGGGGGGCTCTGGGGGCCGACCTATGACCCTGCGGCCATGCGACCCTGCGACCCGACCTAAGACCCTAAGACCATGGACCCTAAGACCATACTACACTAAGACCGTGCGACCCTAAGACCCTAATACCATAATGCACTAAGCCACTATACCCTAATACCCCAAGGCCTTAATACCCTAATACCTTAAGGCCGCATACGGCCCGAATGCCCCAAGGCCCTGAGGCCCTTAGACCCTAATACCCAAAGGCCCTGATACCCTAAGACCCTATAGGACCCTGAGACCCTGAGACCCAATGGCCTGAAGACCCTAAGATCCTAAGCCAATGCATCGCAAAGACCCGACCTAAGACCGTAACACCCTAAGACGTTAATGCAGTAAGTCCATCAGACCTTGAGACCCTAAGATCCGAACGGCCCTAATGCCTTAATGTCCAACGGTCTTATAAGGCCCTATACCCTGAGACCCTGAGACCCTGAGGCCCGAATACCCTATGACCCTAAGAAACTACGACCATAAGACACTAAGGCCTTAGGGCAGTAATACAATATGACACTAATACCCTACGGCCATGTAGACCCTAGTACCCCAAGGTCCAAAGACCCTAAGGCCATAAGGCCCTAGGGCCCGAAGGCCCCGAGACCATCAGACCATGTAGGAGGCCCTGAGACCATAGGGCCCTAAGGCACGACTGCCCTAACGCCCTAACGCCCTAAGACCCTAAGGCCCTAAAAGCCTAAGATCCTAAGACCCTGAGGCCCTACCGAATACCCTAAGACCTTAATGCCATAATACCGTGAGACCATACGGCCCTAACGCCCTAAGGCCCGACGACCCTAAGACGCAAATGCCCCATAAGACCATATGACCGTAAAAGGCCTTATAAGACCCTAAGGCTCTAATACCTTACGGCCATAAGGCCCTAAGGCCATAAGACCCTGAGACCATCATGCCCTCAGACCATAAGGCCGTGCAAGTGCGCGTGAACGCATACATGGAAAGCAAAACGTTTTATATGCGCGCGCATTTGTTCTGCATGCTATCCGAAAACGATGAATAGCAAGAACATGTACAATTATGCATCGCCAAAAACAAATCGCCACCAAACCAAAAAACAAAAAAAACACGCCGATTGCAAAACAAATCCGCGCTGTTTGTCGGCGCTTGCAGCGCTTGGCAAGAACATATAACCAGGTTAAGCCGCCGCCTGTCCTGATTACTGAAACTCTGATAAACAGTTTAGGCGGTTCGGCCATAATGGATAAAACTACGTTAGAAACAGCAGAAGCTGCTCCCCGATAACGCGCTTCATAAGTAGGTTAGGTAACCGACCCAACGCCTTTAAAACTTATTATACCCAAGCCAACCAAATACCAAGCGACCAATCGATCCCAGTGGAGGCCGTGAGGGCCTCCTTGGAAATCCCGGGGGCCCTTGGGCCGGGGGCGCTTCTGCCAACACCCGAGCTGGAAGCGGGGGCGCTGCCCAGCGCCCGCGCCGCCGGCCTCCTCGGGGTCGGGCGGCAGCCCCCCCGCCTTCGGCCTGGGCACGGTGCGCCGCTCGGGGGAACTGTCCGAGCTGCTGGCCGCCGCCGCGGCTCCTCGGGCGGCCGCGGCGGCGGCCGGCTCCGGCGGCCGGTCGGGCGGCGCCTCCTCCGCCCCGCGGGGGGGCGTGCGCGGGCGCTCGCCCGGAGGCCGCGCGGGGGGACCCGCCCCGGGGGCGCAGGCCGCGAGGGCGGCCCCGCTGTGGTGCCGAGTGTCCTGGCTACCCAGACCACCCCAACCCAACCCAACCCAACTCGAAGTGCCCACTTTCGGTTTGGGGGTGCACGAATTCCACCTGTGTTTTTCCCTCAAACTGCGCGTCGCTGAAGGATGCTCGTTTCTCTTCTGAGGGACTGGGCCTGTCAGTCGGTCTGGCGGCTACGTCGTCGGACGCTGCCCCGTCGCCGCCCGTAGCTGAGCCTGTCGGTCGGTCTGGCGGTTATGTTGCCGCCATCGCCGCCCCGTCGCCGCCGTCGCCGCTGCTAGATTCCCCTTACTAAAAGAATTACTCCGAGGGAAGGACCCCGCATGAGAATCCTCTGGGCGAATCTGGAAAAAAACCCTCACCGTCGCCCTCGTGGTTGGTGAGGCGTCCTGGCTGTCTCTTCTGCGTAAATTTCTTTTCGCCCTGGCGCGGGCCCTCCCCCCCGCTCCCTACGTTGCCCCCGACCTCGCCCTCCTGTTTTGGCTCCGGACATTCAGAAAGTTGCCCGGGAGTGGTGTTCTGGGAACGCGAAGAACACGAAGTGGCCTACAGTTGGCTCTGGGCATTCAAAATGTGGCCCCGGAGTGGTGTTCTGGGAGCACGAAAAACACGAAGTGGCCTACAGTTGGCTCCGGGCATTCACAATGTCGCCTGGGAGTGACGTTCTGGCAGCGCGAGAGCCCGAAAATGGCGACAACTATAGAACTACATGGCCCGCTCGGATTAATAAAATGATCCGCGGGCCCCCTAGGGAGGAGGCTCCCGCTTTAGACTTCCTCGCAATTCACTCACCAGTGTGTCCTGGGAATGGCGTTCTGGCAGCGCGAGAGCCCAAAAGTGGCGACAGCTATAGGAATTGGATGACCCGCTCGGATTAATAACGTGATCCGCGGGCCCCCTAGGGAGAGGGCTCCCGCTTGAGACTGCCTCGCAATTCACTCACCAATGTGGCCTGGGAGTGGCGTTCTGGCAGCGCGAAAGCCCAAGAAAGGCCGGCGACAGTTACAGGAATTGGACGACCCGCTCGGATTAGTAACGTGATCCGCGGGCCCCATAGGGAGGGGGCTCCCGCGTGAGACTTCCTCGCAATTCACTCACAAAGGAGGCCCAAGGCGAGTGAGTGAGTGAGTGAGTGAGTGAGTGACTGACTGACTGGTGATGATGATGACCATCACTCTTTCTCACGCGCACACTCATTATCATCATCATCATCATCATCATCATCATCATCATCATCATCATCATCATATGTGAACTCATGAGCGTGTGAGTGAGTGAATGCTGATGAGTCAGTGAGTGAGTGAGTGAGTGGACGAGTGAGTGAGTGAGTGAAAGAGTGAGCTAGTGAGTGAGTGAGTGAGCGCACGAAGACAGAAGAGGAAAGGGGGTGAGGTAAGGAGGTTCCTGCGCGGGGTGTCCAGAGAACATTACTCCGACGGAAGGACCCCGCATGAGAATCCTCTGGGCGAATCTGGAAAAAAAACCCTCACCGTCGTCCTCGTGGTTGGTGAGGCGTCCTGGCTGTCTCTTCTGCGTATATTTCTTCTCGCCCTGGCGCAGGCCCTCCCCCCGCTCCCTACGTTGCCCCCGACCTCGCCCTCTTGTTTTGGCTCCGGACATTCAGAAATTTGCCCGGGAGTGGTGTTCTGGAAACACGAAAAACACGAAGTGGCCTACAGTTGGCTCCGGGCATTCAAAATGTGGCCTGGGAGTGGTGTTCTGGGAGCACGAACAACACGAAGTGGCCTACGGTTGGCTCCGGGCATTCAAAATGTGGCCTGGGAGTGGCGTTCGGGCAGCGCGAGAGCCCAAAAGTGGCCACAGCTATAGGAATGGATGACCCGCTCGGATGAATAACGTGATCCGCGGGCCCCCTAGGGAGAGGGTTCCCGCTTGAGACTTCCTCGCAATGCACTCACAAATGTGGCCTGGGAATGGCGTTCTGGCAGCGCGAGAGCCCAAAAATGGCGACGGTTACAAGAATTGGATGACCCGCTCGGATTAATAACGTGATCCGCGGGCCCCATAGGGAGGGAACTCCCGCTTGAGACTTCCTCGCGATTCACTCACCAATGAGGCCTGGGAGTGGCGTTCTGGCAGCGCGAAAGCCCAAAAATGGCGACAGTTACAAGAATTGGATGACCCGCTCGGATTAGTAACATGATCCGCGGGCCCCATAGGGAGGGGGCTCCCGCTTGAGACTTCCTCGCAATTCACCCACACACGAGGCCCAAGGCGAGTGAGTGAGTGAGTGGGTGAGTGACTGAGCGTGTGAGTGAGTGAGTGCTGATGAGTCAGTGAGTGAGTGAGTTACTGAATGAGCTAGTGAGTGAGCAAGTGAGTGAGTGAGCGCACGAAGACGGAAGAGGATATGGGGGTGAGGTGAGGAGGTTCCTGCGCGAGGTGTCCAGAGAAAACAAGAACCCCACTTTGGATGCGGGGAACAAGAAGCCCACTTTGGATGTGAGGAACAAATAAACTCGACCCCCCCCCCGGAGATAACGGTACACCTTTTCGTATTGCAATGTACAAGTCATTGCGCACACTCGTCCATCCTCAATATGAATCCATACTATTCCAGCCAGGCCGGTATCACTTCCCCCCGCCATCCTCTGCAAAAGTGCTATGCGCGCGCTCTCGCTTAGCCCTTGCCGAAAATGGGAAGAAGTGCGCAAGCGCGCGTCGTCGCGCGCGCATGCCAAAAATCTGTCAGGAACCTTCGTTTCCGGAAGGATTTCAAAACGAGTTTACAAACAAACAACATACAAAAACACATGGTTTCGCAACACTGGTCCCCAAAAAAAACTTACGCGCGCGCACTTGCGAAATCTTAAGAAAACCATGCGGCTTTTCTCCTGCGAAATGTTCAACCAAATGCTACCAAACGGGCTTCGCGCGCGCATGTCGAAATCTTTCGAACGCGCTTGCTCGCGTGCCGTCCCGAGAATCCTCTGCAACAGATGAAACGAAGTGCAGACGCGCGCGTCGTCGCGCGCGCATGCCAAAATCCTTCAAAAACCGTAGGTTTCAGAAGGAGTTCAAAATCGTGTCCAAAAAACATACAAAAACAACAGGTTTCGCAACACGGATTTTCAACAAAAGCGTGCCCGCGCGCTCTTGCGTCGTCGTCGTCGTCTTCGTCGTCGCCGTCCTCCCTCCTCCCTCCTCCATCGTCGTCGTCGTCGTCGTCCTCTGTCTTTCCTCGTCGTCGTCGTCTTGGCGTCGTCGTCGTTTCCGTCGTCGTTGTCGCCGTGGTCGTCCATTTTCCCTCGTCGTGTTCGTCGGCGTTTCGTCGTTGTCCCTCCTATTTCGTCGCCGTCGTCGTCGTCGTCTGTCCTCCTCCCTCGTCGTTGTCGTCGTCGCCGTCGTCGCCCTCCCTCTTCCCTCGTCGTCGTCGTCGTCGTCTTCGTTGGCGACGTCGTCGTCATCGTCGTCGGTTCCGTCGTCGCCATCGTCGTCGTCGTCGTCGTCGTCGTCGGCGTTGCCGTCGTCGTCGTCGGCGGCGTCGTCGTCGTCGTCGTCGGCGTTGTCATCGTCGTCGTCGTCGTCAGCTTCGGCGTCGTCGTCGTCGTCGACGTCGGTGTTGTCGTCGTCGTCGTCGTTGTCGTCGTCGTCGAAGTGGTTGGGGACGTCGTCGCCGTCGTCGAAATGGTTGGGGACGTCGTCGGCGTCGTCGTCGTCGTTGTCGCGGTCGTCGTCGGTGTCGTTGCCAAGTGCCAAGTGGTACCCACCGTCACGGTCTTAAGAAGTCTTGCGGCCAAGTTGCGGGTGGGAGGATGGGGTGTTTGCACGAGCAGTGGAGAGGACAGCTTCAAGTTGAGCAAGCGAAATGCACAACATAGATTGCGCAACGTAAATTCCACGACACAACTTGCACCACATACGCACGTATACGTATGGATATACGTGCGTGCGTACATACATACAGACATACATACATACACATAATTGTTTGTTTGTATGCATGTATGTATGTGTGTATGTGTATATATATATAATGTAACACATATAATGACGCACTATAATTCGGCAACATAAGTTGCCATCTGTATTGCATTACTTTGATAAAACCACATATATCACACAACCTCTGAAAGTTTGCATCCCCCTCATCCGGACGCCCTTGCGCGCGGGTTTTCTTTTTTGGTTGTTCGGGGGGCGCGATCCGTGTTAAACGATACCACGTCTCCACCCGCACGCGTCGGCCGCGCGCGTATGTCGGTTTCCTTCCAAAACCTTTGTCACCGACCCGAAGATATCGTCATAATTACCGGCGGGCGTGATTAACATCGGCGCCGTCATTGGCCGCGCCATCGTCATCGCCACCATCGTCACCATCATCGCTGCTGTCACCATCGTGTCTACCGTTGTCGGCGTCGCCATGATGCTGCTCCCCGTGTCGTACTCGAGCGCACGTTGGGAAATGCCCAACGGTCACCGCCACCGCGGCCGCGTCGGTCGCGCCGCACTAGCTGGTCGCTGCGCGCGCGAGCGTGCGCGGGCTAGCGCGGCAGTCAACGCCAAACACTCATCGCCATCGCCGTCGCATAGGTTCTGCGAACGAGGTTGCGGGCGGGTGGGTGGGATGATTGCGCGAACACTTGGGTACACAAGTCACTGCGATCATGGGTGAATTGCACCACGTACGTTGCACAACAAACATTGCACGACACATATCGCACCACATCTACAGCATAACATACCTTGGTTCACACCTATTGCGCACCATTAGATGTGACACGTCGACTCCAATGAACATGTTGCACCACATAGGTTGCAACACATAGGTTGCACGATTGTACCACGTAGCCTGCACCACATATATATATATATATATATATAGCACCACACATATTGCCCACATGCACTGCGCAGCAGAATGTGCCGTACGGATTGCGCCACCAAGATTGCACCACATAGACTTCACGTCATCGCTTGCCTCACATATATGCCCGCTGCTCTGCGAAAGTTAGGATCCACCCCAGCCCCCCGGGATTGACCGCCCGTTTTTTCGTAACGAAACCTACAACATATACGTGTATATATATATACATATATATATATATATGTATGTATGTATGTATGTATGTATGTATGTAAATACATACATATATATATACACATGTATGTATATATATATATATATGAGATGCCCCATCGTCCATCCGATTTATGAGCTCGTACCATCCCAGCCACGTTGGTATCGACATATCCCGCCATCCTCTGGAGTCGGTATTATGGGCGCGCGCTCGTTTGTCAAAAACCGTCAATTTCCAAACACCTTGTGCAACCAATGTGACGAAAAACACATGCGCACATCGTCGCGCACGCATCCCGAAATCTGTCCGAAAACTTCAAGTTTCGTGCGGGTGTTAAATTCGGCGACCCCGAATGCCCCGGAAACGTGTGCAGGTACATGGATTTGCAGCATAAATTGTCAAACAAGATGCGCACATGTGCGAAAACCCGATGGGTTTGGCCCCATGTTCACCACATTCGACAAAACGCACCCCTCGCGCGCGCATGTCGAAATTATTCGAACGCCCTTGCGCGCGTGGGGGATGGGGGGGGCCATCCGTGTCAAAGAACACCATGCGGGCCACCCGCGCGCTTTCGTCCACGCGCGCATGTCGAAAGCTTTTCGGAATTTGCATCACCGACGCAGAGACACCATCATCGTCATCGGCGTGATCATCATCGGCGCAGCAATTTGCTTTGTCGTCGTCATCGTCATCCTCGCAACCATCATCGTGTCTACGGGCATCGACGTCGCCATGACACTGCGCCCGCTCAAGGCACCGACTCGCACTGAAGTGCCCGCGCGTCAGCGCGGCCTGCGAGACGCGCTGGGATGTGCCCAACAGTCACCGCCACCGCGGCCGCGTCGGTCGCGCCAAAATAACTAAGTGGCCGCTGTGCGCGCGAGCGTGTTCGTGCTAGCGCAGCTGCAGAGATGCACCAGCCAACACCAAGCTCTCATCGCAATCGCCGCCGCATGGGTTTTGCAAACCAAGCTGCGGGTGGATGGGCTGGACGATTGCAAAAGCAGTGGGGCTGACAACTCTGAGCCTTCCCGAATCAGCTGCACAACGTAGATAGCACAATATGAATGGCACGACATAGATTGCGGGAGACGCGCTGCTCGGGGTCCACGCGGGCTAACGTTCAGTGTTCCGGGATTTCTCCTCGCTGCGAGTGGAGGGCAACTTGGGGCCTTCGGGATGGGTTGGGGTGGTTTGTCGGGTACTGACATCCTGCGGCGGCGGCGCGCTCCGAGCCGCGGTCGCCTCGGCTGCATGCCCCGCGGCGCCGTCGGCATCCTGCGCGGGTTCCTCCTCGCGCCGCGGGCGGTAGGCGGCCCAGCACGGCGCCTCGGGCGGCGACTGGCCGCCCGGCGGGGAGGCGGAGCCGCGGGCGTCGTCGTGCCTCGGCGTGACCTCGTCGAAGCCTCCGTGGGCCACCAGGTCCGCCGGATCGAGCCCGTAGAGGTCGCGGTGGCGCGGCCTGGGCTGATAGGTGATGTTAAAAACGCTGGGGGCTTTTCTCTTTGTTGTTCGGCAAACCGACAGGAACCACGGCAGCCCAAAACAGCAAAAACCGAACCGAACCGACAACGGCGCCAACGAGACGGGGGGAGCAACACGCCGATTTTGAGAACGAGAGGAGCCTCCTTCCCCTCCCCCCCAGCGCTCTCCCACCATCGCAGGGCCTGGGGGCGAAGATGTCGCCGCTGTCGTCCTCGCGGTCGCCGCACGGCGCCCTGCCGCAGCCCGGCGCCTGCCTGCAGTTGGAGGCCTGAGCGCAACCCGAGGGCGCGGCGCAGGTGGCTCCCATGCGGGGGCAGGACAAGAAGAGAAGTGCGGCGTGCTTCCAGCCCAGACACGCTTGAGTCATGAAAGACAAATTCAACAATCACAAGTTCTCCGAGCTGATTCGAATTTCCCCGAGCGAAAACATGAATGTGTTGTTCTCTCTGCTTGCTTTTTGTTCTTTCGGTTGTCTTCTCTGGCTTACCCGGGCTCAAGGTGCTGCCACTGCAGATCACACCACCACTTGAAGCCATCTTTGTGAAACGCCACAAAAGGAATCCCTTTGTACATGTTGCTACGGCGGAGAAGTGTTCTATCTTTTCGGCTCCTGGAGGCTCGCTTGCTTCGAACCGTCAGAAAAACCACTGAGGACAAAAAAAACGGTCCTGGGGAATAACGCGAGACCTCTGGGGGTCGACGCTCTGGAAAATGATGACGTCGGGGGTCTGGGAGACGGGCCGAGGGCTGGATGGGGGGGCACCAGAGGGTGGAACCGGCGCGGCGCTGGCAGCAGTCTGGGCGACCTTGCCCCTCGAGCAGAAACAGCAACGCGAGGGTCGCTTCGCTGGCGGAGGGAAGATGGAAAGGAGATTGTGAGTGATACATGAGGAGGGGTGTGTGGAGGTGGGGGGAAGAAGCAGGAGGATGAGGGAGTTGGGAAGAGGATGATGAGAGGATGATGGGCGGCAGTGGATCTTGACTCTTGGGTAGAACTGGGCGGCACGGAGAGCCGAGAAATCACGGCACTCACACCTGCAGAGGGACCAAGGTCAGTAATGAGTGGACCCATGCAAGCCGCTGCAATCACGATCACGCCGCTGCGGCTGGAATGCATTCCAAAGCGGGATGAAATACAGCGGGACGTCTTCATGGATGGGCGCGGGGAGGAAGAGCGTTTTCGAGAGCACAGCAGAAGAACAGGCAGGAGGGAATGGGCGACAGACATCGAGTTGGTGCTGAAGCAAAGTCACAAAGCGTTGATAAAATGGATGATTGGATGGGGATGTGAGTACGGGCAGTGAGGGGGCAAAGGGTGATCCGCCAGTCAGCGTCATGCCAGTCCAGCAAACCGCACCAAAAGGGAGGTCGTGTGAGGGTAAGCGGCTGTTTTTGTTTGTGTGGTGCAGAATCCTTGCATGCAAGCTGTCTTTGAGCTTCCGTCCCGTACTGACAAGATGCGTTCGTAGTGGGGTTGGCAAGGGGTGCTGGGATTGCACCAGGATAACACAACTTCTTTGATGTCTTCAACATGCGCCAACAATGGGTCTACATCCTCAGGAGATCCGAAGGATCTGGGCGATACTCGTGACGCGAAACATCTGATTTGCCCTTCGGCCATATGAAGCTCAAGGCCACAGCTCAACCACAAGAGCCCCTCTTCTCAACTTCCCCCCAACCTCCTGTCTGGTTGGGGTCGCCGGGAGTTGGAACGCCCAAGGTCGTCCCAGGAGGCTCCAGCATTTCTCCAGGTAGCCCAAGACTGCCTCCAAGACGGCGCAATATTGCCCAAGCTGACCCAGTGGTCTCCAACATACCCCTAAATGGCCCAAACACATGATGTCCGAAATAATCAAACTAAAACAAAACACGGGCACGAGGATGTCTCCGATGAGCACCCCAAGTGACTCCCAAGAGGGCCTCAGTAGGATTGGTTGGGCCCCCTTATTTTAAGTCGATGGCCTCCAGGCGAGAACACCTCATGGGGGCCAGGCTGTTTTATATCATTGGCTTAACAACGCCCCCAGAGTTCTCAAGAGGTTCCCCGAGAGCCGCGCGTTGGCCGTACTGGAGGAATACTTTGGCTGGTCACTTGGTTTGACTGGTGTCGCACCTCTGTGGCTAAACACTCATCCGCTTAACTTCCCACGTGAACTCTCCTGGACATCTTATCTCATGTCTGGAAAGGTTGATGGGGATACGCAACAGCTGCAAGTCATTCATCACTTGTCTGCATCACCTTCATTGACTTGCAACAGGGCTGCAACTCAAATTGGTGAAATGCCGAACCGCAGCCTGCAAGACGTCCCACGTAGATCGGAGCCGTCTCACCTTCGCTAGCAAGCTGGCGCACAATCCGTCTACGTTACCATATGACATCAAACGATTTGGTCCAATGAGTAATACCACGACGCGAGGTCAGAATCATGGAGGCGATGCAGAGTACAAGACGATGGAGCAACAACGCACGACTCCTGATACCAGTGGCAGTGGCAACAACCGCCCGCATGATAGAACGCAGACTTTACCATACGAGCAAGTGGAAATACTGCGCACCCGAAGAGACCTAGGCCTTGAAGCCAACTGACTTCGCTGGACTCAGGGTCTTGAAACTCCAAGGTTCTCGTCGCGAATTTCTTCCACCCACAAGAAGTCCAAGGCAACGCCCAAAGCGGCGTCTTGATGCGCTTCCCAACTGCATGCGTCGAGTCTGCTTTGCAATGATGAGGATGTCATGCACAATAGTCACATTGCCACAAGAGAGCCCCTACGCAGACAAGCCCGGACCAACTCCGATTGTTGGTGTAATTCATATCCCGGACAGATCTTTAGAATGTCCAGACAAGCCTTTCTGAACCGTCCAAGACGCCTTGTTGGACCATCTTGCCGTCTTGGAGCTATCTTGGACCCTGTGGTGCCGTCTTGCGGCTGGAATTGGCCTTCTGTTGGGCAGTTTTGGGTCATTATTGATCCGCCTCGGGCCCTCTAAGCCAGATGTGATGGGAAGCAACACGCGAGCAAATTCAAGTATGAATGTGAACAAGTGCGGGGCTCCGAAATTTATGTATGGAAGCAAGCACATCTAGCAAACTGGGGCTTACCCGTGAACCGACACATTCGGCGGCGAGTCCGGGGGGAAAGTCAGAAGGGTCGGGCCCTCTCAGAAGGCTTGGAAATCCTGGGGCCTTCTGACAATCTTTCTGAGCCTTCCCGAGAGACACAGAAAACCTCTCAGAAGGCGCGAGGGCTTCTGAGAAGCCCCGCCGCCTTCTGAGAAGGCCTTCTCCTTCTCACTTCCCCCCCTTGGCGCGCCGCCGAAATTGCTTTTTGGGTCATAACTCGGGTCTCCCGCGGCCGTTCGGGACGATTTGGGCAGCCCCGGAACGCTCTCGGCGAGGCGCAGCCGCTGGAACGCATCCCGAGGGCGGAACACTGCCAAGAAAAACGAAAACGCCCGAGAACCTCGAACCCGGGTCCATCGCTTGTCCAAGAAATCCGCGCGAATCGTCAATAATAAAGGCTCTTCGCACGACTTGCATGCGCAGTCTCCTGGGGTTGAGGTTCCCTGGCGTTTCCTGTACTCGCCGCTCCCTGGTCCAACGGCCGCCACGCGGCTCCCGTCTGTTGCCCGTGTACAGTAAGGGAGGGGGGGGGTCCAACGCCGACCCAGAATCCTCGTACATAGGGAAACGAATAATGACATAAACATGAGAACTCGGAGGTCCGCGCGGAGTTCTCGGATTTGCGCTGGACAACCCCCTTCCCTGGCGCGCGGAGCGCGCTAGGAGCGGCGCTGGAGGCGCTGGGGGGCCCAACGCGGATCCAGGAAATCCGCGCGGAGCGCGGACGAGTTTACGTTTATGGCGTTTTACTTCTTCGATACATGCGGGGATGGATGCGCGGTAAGGATGCAGGGTCCTTGGAGGCCCATGTCCACGTTGTTCGAGCGAGCTTGGCCAGCGGGTCGCTCGGGAGGGGCCGAGGGGGCGAGGGTGCAAGGGCAGCCCTGGGAAGGTGGCCCATCCTTACCAATTCGGGGGCGCGCCCACATGGATTAGCGACCCGTGGATTCGGCGCGCGGTCGCAAATCCATGGATCGGGGGAGGTGCCCTCCTCAAAATGCGGCCAATGCCGCCTCGCTCGGCGGCGGGAATCCGCGATTTCCAGTGGAAACGGGGCCCGTCGCTAATCCACGCCCCCTTGATCCATGTGTGTGATCGCCTGACGTAACTGCGGGGATGGATGCGCGGTAAGGATGCAAGGGCGTTGGAGGCCCATGCCAACATTTCTCTTGAGCGAGGCTGGCCCGCGAACGTCGCTGAGGATGGGCCGAAGGGGCAAGGATGCAAGGGTAGCCCTGGGAAGGTTGCCCATCCTTACCCATCGGTCGGAAGAAGTAGGTAAAAACATGGAGCAGGAAGGCGGATAACTAGATTTGGTTCAGGCCCTCCCAGAGAAGAACAACACACGGCAAAGCATGTCGAATCTTGAAGTGGGAAGGCGCATGAAGTAGATTGGAATCTGGGAACCCAAGAACTTTGACTTTCGACGATTGGCGTGAAGAAGTGCGGGTTGAGTGTACGGACCTCCGACATTTCATATGCGACGTCTTCCTCGCGCCGTGGCGGAGCGTCGTCGTGGGGAGGAGCCGTGCCGCTGCCACCTCTTGCCACCCCGCCGAGCCCGGCTGGGCCCAGCCCCCGGGCCCGGGAGCGGTGCATGCGCCCTCCTGGCGTGGCCAGGGAGGCGCACACGTGCCGATCCTGGTGGCCACGCTGACGTTTGACGGGCGAGGCTGGCCAGCGAAGTCGCTCGGGATGGGCCGAATGGGCGAGGATGCAGGGGCAGCTTCGGAGAAGTTGCCCATCCTTGCTATGCGGGTTGACTGTATACACCCTCCTGGCGTGGCCAGGGAGGCGGACATAGACCGATCCTGGTGACAAGCTAATGCCGCCAGAGAAAGGGAATGGGGAGACCAAGAGGTACCGATACCGCTACAGTGGAGACCAGTCCACAAGAAACCTTCCACAAGAAACCCAACCCCGAGACCCCAGGACGTCCATTGATTTTTGGTGGGAACGTCGCGCTTTCCACAGCAAAAACATCGAAACCCAAGAAGCCCAAGGCACACTGGGCGCAAGCAGGGTGTTTCTTGGCATGGGCCTTCGCTGTACTCCCTGGACCTCTCCAGGGGTGCGTTCTGACCAGAACTTCGAGGCGAATCCAGCGGTGGCGACGAAGGCCTCCCAGGAGGCCCCCAAAGGGGAAAACAAGGGAAGGGTAGCAGTGTGGGTACCTGTGCCTCCTCTGAGGGAAGACCAGCAAATGCGCGGGCGCAAGGCGCGCTGCCTGTGGAAGTGGCGGAAAACACCGCGCTCCACGCCAGAGGCGCCGCTCCTGTCCCAGCCTGGCGAGCAGGGGGTAGCAGGGGCACCCACAAGACTTGACGGTCCCGTATAGGACGGGAGAGTGCGTCGAGAAAATCCAAAAAGGCGCGGACACGGAGGCCCACAGTGGCGGGACAGAGGACGTCGTGAGGCACAGCGCCAAAAGTAATTGGGAGGGCTCAGAACAGGGAGGCCATGGCGAATTCATGTGTTTAGGCCGAACTCGAGTTGCAAGCTTCGCGCGAGCTTTGTGCTCTGCAACGTCTGTTGTCGATGAGGACTCCACGGGCTCCGCGTACCAAACCGCGAATTCTTTACGCACACGGCCGTACAGAGGACATAGCAACATCCTTCAAGAATATGAGGCCCTCCGCCGGCCCAAACTGAAGAATATTCGAGGGTCCCCTCCTCCAAGATGCACAAAAAGATATAACGAACACACCCTCCCCGAACCAACCTCGACTGTATACTTCG